TGTTGTTGTTATTATTAATATTTATTTTTTGTTGTTTTTTATTTCTTTTATATTATTTGTTCATATTATTATTATTCTTACTATTATTATTATTATTATTATTATTATTATTTGTTTTTGTTAATTTTGATTTTATTAATATTGTTAATATTATTAACATGTGTAATTTACAAAAATGGCTTCCTCCAGTCGTCATCTTTCTACGGATATGTTCTTATGACGTCTCCAGGATAAACATGTAACAAAGACATTGTGAGAAGGAAATGAAAGATTATTACGTCCTAGGCGACATAACACGTGGATAACAAAACATACACACATGTTGACCAGGTTAAAGATTTAATCCACCAGGCTGGATTTGGACAATTAATGACAATCAGAACGGTTGACATAAATAATCATTTGATCACAGTGTTAGTTGAAAGGTGGAGAACTGAAACTCACACCTTTCATTTTTCCATCAGAGAAGCCACAATTACATTAAAAGATGTGGTCTTACAATTAGGTCTGCCCATTGATGGACTGTCAGTTACAAGTCTCAGTAGTGAAGATTCGGTCATCTTTTGTGAACAATTATTCGGTTTTCCCCACCGTAAGGTGTTGCTACAGGAAACATAATAAAATTCTCTTGGTTAAACACTTCATTTCAACACCTTCCAGATGATGCAGACGATAATGTTGTTGCACAACATGCCACGACACACATACTAACAATAATAGGGAGTTTATTATTGTCAGATACTTCAGCATCTAGAGTGCATTTAATGTATCTCCTATTATTGCAGGATTTAACTCTAGTTTCAAACTATAATTGGGGATCAATTGTTTTGGTATATTTATATAGAGCGTTGGATCATGACGTTGACTACCATCAGTAGAACATTGGAGGATGCATGTTATTGCTCCAAACTTGGACATGGGACCATATTACATGCATCTGTCCTAAGGTAGATGATTTAACCATTAATGAGATTGTTAGAAAATGCAAGTTTGATTCTAAGACCCACATTGGGTAAGAATGAGAAAGTTGAGCAACATATAAGAAAGTATGATGCATAACTCAATGCCTTAAGGTTTTTGGTTGAGAGTGGTGTCAATCCCTTATATGGGTTGGACTCATGTCTCATTAATGTTGTTCTCCCAGTAAATTACCCTCGAAAGACCCAACATGTGGTATCAGAGCTGAAGGTTGATCTGCATTGGGACAGAGTAATCTTTGTATCGAAAGTCTTCCTGATAGTGAATGACAGTACATGGAAGGACCACTAGTGTGTTCGAAGGGGATGTATCAATGTGGAGGAATTCACACTTAAGGAGGAGATTGTTAGGAAATGCAAGTGTGGTTCTAAGTCTCACATTGGGTATGAATGAGAAAGTTGAACAACATATAAGGAAGTATGACCCATAACCCAATACCTTAAGGTTTTGGATTGAGAGTGGTGTCAATCCCTTATATGGGTTGGACTCATGTCTCATTAATGTTATTCTCCCTAGTAAATTCCCCTCGAAAGACCCAACAAGTGGTATCAGAGCCAAAGGTTGATCGATAGTGGGACAAAGTGGTCTTTGAATCTAAAGTCTTCCTGATAGAGTGGGTCAGGTAAGCGTGTCCCGTTAGAGTGAATGACGGTACATGGAAGGACCACAAGTGTGTTTGAAGGGTATGTACCAATGTGGAGGAATTCACACTTGAGGGGAAGATTGTTAGGAAATGCAAGTGTGATTCTAAGTCCCACATTGGGTAAGAATAAGAAAGTTGAGCAACATATAAGGAAGTATGACCCATAACCCAATGCCTTAAGGTTTTGGGTTGAGAGTGGTGTCAATCCCTTATATGGGCTGAGCTCATATCTCATTAATGTTGTTCTCTCTAGTAAATTCACCTCAAAAGATCCAATAAGTGGTATTAGAGTCGAAGGTTGATTGGCAGTGGGACAGAGTGGTCTTTGTATCGAAAGTCTTCCTAACAGAGTGGGTCAGGTAAGCGTGTCTCGTTAAAGTGAACGACGGTACATGGAAGGACCACTAGGGTGTTCGAAGGGGATGTACCAATGTGGAGGAATTCACACTTGAGGGGAAATTGTTAGGAAATGCAAGTGTGATTCTAAGTCTCACATTGGGTAAGAATGAGAATGTTGAACAAAATATAAGGAAGTATGACCCATAACCCAAAGCCTTAAGATTTTGGGTTGAGAGTGGTGTCAATTCCTTATATGGGTTGGGCTCATATCTCATTAATATTGTTCTTCCCATTAAATTCCCCTCGAAAGACCCCACAAGTAGTATTAGAGTCGAAGGTTGATCGACAGTGGGTAAGAGTAGTATTTGTATCGAAAGTCTTCCTGGCAAAGTGGGTTAGGTAAGTTTGTCCCGTTAAAGTGAATGATTATTCATGGAAGGACCCCTAATGAGCTCGATGGGATGTATCAATGTGAAGGGACTCACACTTGAGGGGGAGATTGTTGGGTAATCCAGTGAATTAAGTTCCACATTGATTAAGAATGAGAAAGTTGAGCAACATATAAGGAAGTATGACCCATAACCTAATGCCTTAAGGTTTTAGGTTGAGAGTGATGTCGATCCTTATGTGGGTTGGGCTCATTGTCTCATTGACGTGTTTCTCCCCTGTGAATCCCCCTCAAATTGTTGTAAGGTATGGTTTCCCATTGGCTAAAAGGTATTCAAATTTATTTTATATTATTTTATTCCATTTCTTTCTTTCATATTACTTCATTTTATAATAGTATATTTTTTTGTATGCAATAGGTAGTCACAACCAAGTCAAAGGTCCTATGTGATTATATATGTTGTACATGTATTACGTCTAACATTTGATCAATTAAAAGCAAAGGAGGTATTTCATTTAATACAACTTTCAATATGTATTTCTTAAATTATAATAATTCTAATTTTACAAGTTCTATAAAATAAAATAGTTTTGTGGACTATTTATCATGGTTTTGGGCTACAACAACTAATAAATGTTTAGGTTTCTCTTGTGAGTTATGTTATAGTTCCAATGATATGTTTTGGATTATTATGTGGAATGACCATCACAACCGACTAATTCAAGGAAACGAGTTCAACAGGAATGACCACTTGCGTGAAAATACAACATATATGATATGGTATTTTCAACATACTATCAAATATATTTCCTCTACCCAAGAAGAAGATCCAGATGAAGAAGTAAGTATATCAATAATTTTATTTTATATATATAACATTCATATCAAACTAATATTGATTTTATTTTTTAACAGTATGATACAGAGCAGCAGGAACAATCTCAATATATTGGTGAACCTAGTCATGTCCATGCTGGTCAGTTGAGTCATGTCCATGTTGGTCAGTCGAGTCATCAACATATTGGTCAGTTGAGTGATCAACAACCTATCCATATTTTGGATATGTTGACCAACTCCAAAATTTACCTGCGCAATTTCAATTTGAAGGATAAATTTCTCATACATTTACTTCGTTTATATCTGAAACAAACATGTTTTCCACCTTTTCTATGACACCACCATCAGCATACAATCAAACACCTTTCGTGACAATATGCCTAGTATGTCCCCTATGTAGTATACAAATGAAGAAGAAGAAGAAGATGACGACGACGATGATGATGATGATGATGATGATGATGATGATGATGATGATGATAAGAAAGCAAACATTCATCCTCAACCATCACAGGGTTATATGTGTGCTACACAAGCACAACAAAGGTCTATTCAAGACCAACCACATATACCAATACGACAAATAAGAAGTCCACCTTGTGGGACTGAGTCTCACCATTAATTTTTTCAATGATAATGTATATATGCATGTAATATTTTAATATAAATATAGTGAATTAAATTTAACCATGTTTGTCTAAATATTTTTATTTATTATTAAATTAATAATTCAATTAAAAATAATTATTTAATAAATAATATATTTTAAAAAATAAAAAATTTGTTTTTTCCAAAAAATAAAAGTGAAGCACGAATTTGATATAAAAAAGAGAAACTTGTGCTTCATAATATATTGTTTGAAAAAAAAAATCAAAACTGTACTTCCAAACACGATTTTAAGGATGAAATTGTTCTACCTCCCACAATTTAACCCATTTTTTGGAAAATTTAAAATTTTCAACTCCTTTCAATAAAATTAAAATTTTGTTAACCCTCTTTAGTAAAAAAACCTAGATCATTAAGAGAAATTCGTGCTTCATAGCACTTTTTTTAAGAAAAAAATAATAAAAATTGTGTATGTTTCCAAACACGATTTTAATTAAAATTGTACTTTCAAATATGATTTTAAGGGTGAAATCGTCCTATCTCCCATAATTTAACCCATTTTAGAAAAATTTAAAATTTTCAACCCGTTTCACTAATCAAAATTTTTTTAACACCCTTTGGTAAAAACGCCTACATTATTCTTCTCAATATTTTATTACAATCGTAAATATTATCTTCCCTATTCTTACGCGTGCTAACTAAACAAAATCAATGATTCAATTAACATTTCAAAAAGAAAAATAGTCCCTTCATGCCCTTACAATTCTAACTAATTCAAATATTTAATAATTCTTTTAATTTAGGTCATAAAATTTGTAAGTTCACCTGTTTCTCTCACTTTTCATATGAACCTATTAATTTATATCCATTTTAATAATTATAATTAAGGGTCAATTAACTTCAACAAATTTTTGTTAAAGAACAAATTTGGTTTGTTGATAAATTTGATAAAAATAAATAGTTTGAATTGTAAGAAATTAACATAAAATTGTTGCATATTATAAAATTTTAAAATATGTGTTTCATGTTAAGAGATCAAAGAAAAAAAGAAAAAAGAAAACCCAAAATTTGGTTTGTTGATAATTTTGATAAAGATGAATAATTTGAATGGTAAGAAATTAATATAAAATTGTTACATATTATGACATTTTAAAATATATGTTTCATGTTAAGAGAAAAGGAAAACAAATAAAGCTACTACCAAAATATAGGTTCTACCTGGAGTCGAACCAGTCACTGGATTCAAAGCTCAGAATGCTAAAACACTACACCGTAGAACCAGTACAAGAGCGAGGTTTCCATTAATAATTATTCATATGCAAAATCAGAAGACAGAAGAATCTTTATTTTTATATATATATTAGCATCAGTTATATAATTTACCTAGATAAATACTAAACAATGTATTTAGTACTTGGAAAATTATCTCTATAATTTTCTTATTAAAAATATGAGATTAAAAAAACCTGTCAAATTAATATTTAAATAGTCATTTTCATCAAGTTTCTATAAATTAAAACTAAGAATTGTTTTTATGCATGTACAGATTTGCGTGTGATATATAATTCACATAATTGGCCCCATACATATAATATATGCTAAAAGAAGTTCATAAGTTAAAATAAATAATATATTTTCAATCTATACAAAGAAAATTAAAACACTTTGAACGCAAATACATTTGAATTCTTTTATTAATTTCATGCAAAATTTAAAATATGTTTATTTAATTTAAAAATTTAATTACAAAAATAATATACTTAGTGCTCGTAACTCAGGTTTTAGTATAAAAATTTAATTACTTTTTTAACTCTAAAAGAATACATATTTTGAGTAATGTTCTTATCGAACTCGCGAGAGTTAGACAAGAGAATTTGATAAGATCGGTGGATCGTGTTTTAAGTTTTGATTTTATCTTTGGTTTCAAGGATGTTGAATCACTTCCTTTGAAAAAAGTAGAGACCCACCTGTCAAAGGTATTCTGATGCTCAAGTCAACTTTTATACAAGAGAGTATGTATTTGAAAATGAGTGATGAAGTGAGATTTATTCCCTGATTGAGTCTCCTTATATATGATTCAGAAGATAATAATAGTCCAAAATATAATAATTAATAGCCCAAAAATAATAACTTATATAAGATATTATAACAAATAAAAGATAATTAATAATATGTAACAAGATAATTAAATAAATAAAGTAGTTTCAATGGATTTGGGTCGAGTAGGTACACAAGCCCTCGAAGCTCGGAGGCTGAATTCCTTTAGGAATAGAGGCCAAACGAGTTTAACGTTAAGTTGATCATTTATCAAGTAGTGTTTGGTTTGAACATGTTTATTCTATCAATCATTATTCGGTTAGACCAAGATATATTTGTGAGATTTACTCAGTAAAGCTTATTTATTTGTCATGCAAAAATATTTGATAACTCGTATAACTCGAATGATCCCAGGTAAGGTAAATGCAAGTTTTGATAACTTGTATACTAAAGTAAGGTATGCATAACTCATGTGACCTTGAGTAATGGATATATAACTCATGTGACCCTTAGTAAGGTAGATGTAGGTTTTGATAACTTATATATCTAAGTACGATATGTATTACTTATGTGACCCCGAGTAAAATAGATGCATATTTTTATACCTCATATACCTAAGTAAGGTATTTATAACTCGTGTGACGCAGATGCGGGTTTTGATAACTCCAAGCTCTAAGGCTGAGAACTAAGGTAGATCAAGCTTAACTATTATCCGAATATCTGAGTTATAATTTGAGTGCTGAGATAAACCGATTTATACTAACGAAAATACAAATCTTTTTAGGAATAGGAAGTAGTTCTGACGAAGAGCATATCATTTCGGTTCATTAGAAAATATATTGGGGAAGGGTCCAGGCATAGATACTATTGAGGTTTCTTCTGATAAAATGCTTCAAACCTTAGTTAGTCGACCATTATCACATAAAAATATCTTCGAACCCCTCCAAAAAAAGTAGTAAGTTTTCATAAAATAAGGATAATCATAAGGATAAACATCCTCATATCGCCCGCTGTGAATATTCTCAGGTTTCTGGTGTTGTGGATGCATAGGTTTTTGAATTTTTATCTTTTGTGTTTTTTTTTTAGTTTATGCTAATATATCAGCATTGCTTTTGAAAAGGATTTAAACCTAACGATTATAGAACATTGTTCACTTTTGGATCAAGTGTTTATGAGTCGCTCGGATGAAGATGACTTTATATTTGCTTATGAATGTTGGTTTAAAGATTTAGATATAAACCTTCCATTTAGTATTTTAAGTGTGCAATGTTGAGCGAGTTGAATGTAGCTCTTACTCAACTTCATCCGAACAACTAGGCTTTCCTAAAGGCCTTTCGGATTCTCTGCTCTCTTCTAAGTATCAAGCCTAATATTAATAAGTTTATGTACTTTTACCAGTTGAAATATGGTGTCGAACATTTGTTGTCTTTCGCTAACAAAGAAGATATTGAATTGATAAAACACTTACCTCGTTCATAAATTATAGGGTGTTAATTAATATTTATTTTACTGAAGATCAACTGACTATGTTCTCAAGTATTTTATATTGTTATTAAGTTTTTATCACAATCGTTTAATGTTTCTAACCTATTTCTTTGATAGAGATAATGAGAACTAAATTTGATTATCGAAAGATACGAGAGGAACTCGACTGAGCTCTTGCTAGTCCTCATTCTGGGCAAGACCAACCTGTGAAGCTGAGGAGATAAAGGGTAATTCCTCATGTCGAGACCCCTCCTTATGGCAAGGGTAACTTTGTGGATTTAGAGAAGGTGCCAGACGATCACAACCGAATAGAATAATATAAGCTGAAAAATTCAATAGAAATTCCAAATTAAATAAAAGAGAACAAACTGAAAGTATAGTAGCAATAGATGAACTCATCTAACTAAAAACTAAACTAAACATTGAGAGTAGGAAAATAAATTGGGGATGAGACAAAACAACAGTTCTCACTTTGGAGTAGAAGATTATGATCATATTGTCGTAAGACCTCTATTTGTAGGGGATTTAACAAGAGACAATAAACCTAAAATTAGTTCCAATAAAATCAAATGTTTTCCAAATAAATAATTGCAAAATTGGATTTCTATGAAGAGAAAGTTTTGGAATTGATTTGAAGAAAATAATTTTCTTCTTTCCTATTTTGAGTGATCCAACACTGATTTTCACTTAATTCTTGGTTCCTGCTAGCCTTTAATTAAGCTAAATTAGATTCCTGCACTAGTTAATTTGCTTGATTCAAAATTTTCATTTGTACCGCTTTGCAAGTGGGCTACACAAGCAAACTTGGTCTTTCAAGAAGAGTGAAGCTTGGCTGCATCAATTTAGGCATTTATTTCCATTAATTTGGCCCATCTCAAATTACCTCTCCTACAAAATGAGAAAAAGAAATATGCAATGTGGATGTATGCATGCATATTATTTATTATGCTAAAACTATGCACAATGTAACAAACTAAGAAAAATTGAATTATGATATGTTTTTCATGAAAACATGTTAAATGTATGGTTTATGAAGAAAATAATTAGCTTAGAAAATGCTCTTAGATAAAGAAATAAATAGTAAAATGATATACATCATTCAAAAAAAAGTCAGTATTCTTACTTCATAGTTCAAGGTTCATGAAGAGGCCATTTCTACCAAGGCTAAAGAGAATGAAATACTCACTTCTCGTGCTCTAAAGGCTGAGAACGATCTACATGTTGAGATTAATTGTAGTAAACGACTAGAAGACCAAATTTCCATAATAGAGAGTTATCACAACAAAAGAACCAACTAATTGAGGTTAAAAAACATGTAAGATAGCTACGAGGATGGTTTCAAGAAGGTCATTCGTCAATCTTCATTATTTGTTCCTCATCTTGACATCTCTCGATTTGATATCGAGAAGGATGTTTAGGATGGGGAGTTAGTGGATGATTAGTTTATTGTAATTATGTGTAAAGTTATCATATGGACATCGAATTTTTTTGAACAACTATTAAGATTTTTCTTGATGTGTAGGATTTTTTGACTCATTTTCTGAGTAACTCGCATGGTTAATCTTGATGTGCAAGATTTTTATGACTCACCCCAAGCAACTTATAATCATTGTGATACTCGTATTAATCTGAATAGTGGTTTACACGTGTGATCTCAAGTAAGGTACTAGTTTTATACTCGTGTGATCTGGAGTAGGGTAATAGTTTTATACTCATGTGACCCCGAGTAGGGTAATAGTTCTATACTTACATGTCCCCTGTAAACCCCAAATCTTGCCCGACCTCAAAATAAAGAGCAGAAGACTTCCAATTCGAAGATGGGCAAGGCCTAAAAGGTCCTTAGGATAGACCAATAGGTCCCATATTATAGTAGGAAGGTTTTTTGTACGGGAAAAATAAGAAATTTCACCTAGAAGGCCGAGACCGCCATCTCACCATCGGCAAAGGGCGAGACCGCTGTCTCGCCATCGACAAAGGGCGAGACCGCCATCTCGTTTGGCGAGATGGCCTTCTCGCCACTCGCCAATGGCGAGACTACCGTCTCGTTTGGCGAGACGACCTTCTCTCCATTTGCCAAGGGTGAGACTGTCATCCCATTTGGCGAGATGGCGGTCTCGACCTTGTCAGGTGGGACAGCAGTCCCGACCTGATAGGCGCGAATTCCTATAAAAGGAGGGTGCGACCTCATCCTTTTCACAACATTCTTCCACTTTCCCTTCTGCAACTTTCTCAAATTCTTCTCCTAGGATCCCTTTGAATCATTTCTGGAGTTTCTTAGTATTCTTAGTGAGTGTTTTCTAGTGTTGCGAGGAAGAGTGATCAGCACTGTAGAGCGTGGAGGTTGCCAAAAAGCACCTTTCTTTACCAAGAATATTAATACAAAAGCTTGATTAGAAGGTTCCTACACTTTCTATCCCTTTTACCATTTTTTTATTCATCTATCTGTGCATTAGCTATTAGGGCCATGTAGTCGACATTTTAAATTCATAAAATGAATAAATAAGGGTAAAAGCATAATTTTAGAGTTCTTTATTTATAAAATAAATGGTCCATCATAGATAGGGAACCTGAAAGGGGCGTCGTAGGGAAGCTAATACCTTCCTTACACGTAACTAACTCCCTTACCCAACTCTGGTTATAATTACCAAGGTTGGTTTTCTAAACCAACGCCTTCTTTTTCTTCCTTTTCCAATGTTTCTGGATAAAACATTGGTGGCGACTCCAGAACCCTTTTTGAAAACCTTGCCTTTAGATCCAT